AGCACCAGTAATGGTAGAAATCAAGGCTTCGGCTCAGCCCATCCAAGTTCGTCAGTATCCCATGTCTTCCAAGGCATGGAGGGGGATTGCCCCTCACATTAACTGTCTCCTGGAGGCCAGAATGTTACGGCCCTGCCATTCTGCTTGAAACACGCCACTCCTCTCTGTTAAGAAACCTGGGGGAAAAGACTATAGGCCAGTCCAAGATTTAAGGGAAGTAAATAAGAGGGTTGAGGACATCCACCCCACAGTCCTCAACCCCTATACCTTGCTGAGCCATTTGCCCCCTTCCCATGTTTGGTGTACCACTCTGGACTTGAAAGATGCTTTTTTTAGCATAGCCCTGGCACCCAACAGTCAACACATTTTTGCCTTCAAATGGCATGATGAAAATACAGGAACCCCCGGACAGTTAACATGGACTAGACTTCCACAGGGTTTCAAAAACTCCCCTACTCTGTTCAATGAGGCTCTTAATCAGGATCTGGACTCATATCTCTGGAGCCACAGTTCCGTCACACTTTTGCAGTATGTAGATGACTTGCTTCTGGCATCTGCATCTGAAGCTGAATGCTGGCAAGCCACTGGAGACCTTCTCCAGGAGCTGGGGAAATTGGGCTATCGGGTCAGTGCAAAGAAGGCCCAAATTTGTAGACAAACAGTCACCTACCTGGGGTATGAATTAAAAGAGGGAACCAGATGGTTAACTAATGCTATGAAAGAAACTATTCTCAGACTCCCCATCCCCACCTCAGCTTGAGAAGTTCGTGAGTTCCTGGGGATGGCGGGCTACTGCCGGCTGTGGATATTGGGGTATGCTGAACTGGCAAACCCTTATATGAGGCAACTAAAGATAAGGCCCCATGGGCCTGGGGGCCAGATCAACAGAAGGCCTTTGAGGAGCTCAAGACCGCCCTCCTAAGAGCTCCAGCCCTGGCGCTGCCAGACCCTCTAAAGCCCTTCACCCTCTTTGTAGATGAAAGGAGGGCAATAGCAAAAGGGGTACTAACGCAGCGCCTAGGGCCCTGGAAGCATCCAGTTGCTTATCTATCCAAAAGGTTGGACCCAGTTGCAGCAGGCTGGCCCCCATGCCTGCGGATCATAGTGACAGTTGCCCTAATGGTAAAGGATGCAGATAAGCTCACTTTTGGACAACATCTGAAGGTGGTAACCCTCCATGCAGTAGAGGGGGTCTTAAAGCACCCTCCAGGTAGATGGGTGACCAATGCCTGACAGACTCATTACCAAGGGCTCTTGCTGGATGCCCCCTGAATCCTCTTCCCCAAACCAGTCTCTCTTAACCCAGCCACCTTGCTGCCAAATCCGGACCTGGAAGCCCCCCTACATGACTGTCAAGAGATCATAGCTGAAATCACCCAAGTGCGCCCCGATCTTCAGGACCTAGCCCTACCCAACAGTGAGCTGGTATGATATACAGATGGGAGTAGCTTTGTCTTGGATGGGGTGCTTAAGGCGGGGGCAGCAGTGGTGGACCAAGGTGGGAACATAATTTGGAGTGCCCTATTGCCCCCGGGATACCTAGCCCTGAAAATGTTTATGCGTATCATCCAAATGAGCATGATTCCTCATTATGAACATCTAAAGGGGGGAATGTTGGGGTACTTTAACTTGCAGCCCACCTAGCCTAAAAATCAACTATAACTGGCATGACCCTTGGGTAACCTCGTGAAGAGGAAGATAGCCTTGAAACAGGGTTGTAAAACATGGTAAACTGTCAATTAAAAGCTGTAACCTCGGACAGAGCTGTGAGGAATTGCCCATTAGAGCCATGCAAAAGTTTGGGACTGAGATGAAAGGCACCATGCAGAGATAAGCACCCATTCCTGCCTTTCTTTGTCTCCATTTGTAAATAAACTTTCCAAAACAGGACTCCCCTGCTGTTCTTATCTAAACCTATTCCACTACTAGCCCCTAATTTATGGGAGAATGCATTCCTTGTAACCTGATAAGTAAACCTCTGGTGTTTCCCCAGTTCCCAATAAATAATATTACCCCACCACCAGGATGTGGGCAAGATCAGGAAAATGTGACCCCAGGGGCATGAGGAATTCCTATGTGATGATGATTGATGCTTTAAAGAGTATAAGACCTGCTTAAACTTTGCTCTCAGGGTCCTTGTTGAAACCTGCTGCATCAGGCGGATGCTCGGACCCTAGCTAGCTAGAAAATAAACTTTGCCTTGTGACTTCCTTTGTCTCGAGTGTCCTTTGTCCTCTCAGAAGGTGACCAGCCTCGTACCCTAACAGGGTATATATCCAAAGTAGTATAAATCAACATACAAAAGTGATACCTGCACACCCATGTTTATCACAGCTCTATGCACAATAGCTAAGCTGTGGAATCAGACTACGCACCTAGCAACTGATGAGTAGATAAAGAATATGTGGCATATATGCACAATGGATTATTATTCAGCCATAAAGAAGAACAAAATCATTTCTTCTGTGGGAAAATGGATGAAACTGGAGGTCACTATGTCGAAGGAAATAAGTCAAACTTAAAAGGACAAATATCACATTTTCACTCATATATGGAATCTAGACCTAAAGTGATACTAATAATAATAATGAGGCCTGAGTGTAAAAAGGAGTCTGTATGGGTAGGGGCAATAAGCAGGGAGAAAAGGGGGAAACAAGAGAGTACTGGAGGCTGAAGAGGATTAAAGTATAGCATAATGAAACCTACCAAATACTGTTTTAAAAGGGGGTGAGAAGGAAGGGGGCTTAAGGAAATAACAAGGGGTGAACTTGTTCAAAGTACACTGTATGCATGTATGCATCAATGGAATTATCAATGGTGAAACCCCTTTGTATGCTATTTTTTAAAAGAAGAAATATCATGTGACCAGTAACTAGGAAAGCAAAACTCAAATCTCTGCCCATTCCATTCCAAAATTTGTTTTTCCATTAAAATATGTTTTCTTCTCCTAGTATAAATCCACAAAGTATTATTTCAGAGTTTTGAAAGGAAACTTCTCCGTCTAGAACTTCTGAAATCTTCCTTTCCTAATTAATGTGACCAACTTGGTCAGATATGGGTTTGGCAGGGAGTTAGAAAACCTGATGGCTAAGAATGATTGCTTAGACAATCATTCACATCTTGGCCTGCTGAAATTAGTGGGATGACTCTTGACATAGAGCAAGGTCTTGCTGACCTGTAACCCCCACAGCTGGCAGAAAATGGCAGCACCAGTCTGGCCATATAAGGCAGAGAGAAGAGAGAAACAGAGAGAAGAAGAAGGAGGAGGAGAAAGGAAAGTAGAGGAAAGAGATGGGAGGGAAGAGAAGAAGGGGAAGGAAATGAAAGGGGAAAAAAGAAAAGTAAGGAAATCTCTCACGAGTGCACATAGATTTGTTCAGGATTTGAGAGCTATTAAGGACGTTGGGCAGGATGTTCATCCTACTCTACCAAAATATTATATGAGTGCTATATCTGAAGATTTTGGATGGTGTTGTATGAATTTTCTCAGGAAGAATTGTGTGCCTTCAAACTGGGGTTTGCTTATGGAACAGTGAATTACTATGAGGAACTATATTTACTTGGCCTGGTCCGGTATCTCCCAAATAGCTGTCACCCAGACTCTACCTAACCCCCAGAAGCCACTAACTACCCCCCTAAGAAACTCCTCTTTTATATGGTTCTAATTCTATAGCAGAAACCTAGAGTGCCACCTATGGTCAGAAATACCTGCAGGCTCAAATACAAGACACAGACATTGAGAGAATCCTGTGTTTATCTCATAAAGACCACGATCTATGGGAAAAACAGAAAAGATGTACCATACCTTTAAAAAGACACTAGCTAAACTTTGTCACAAGACCTATTTAAAATGGGTTAAAATTTTACCTATTGCTCTACTCCAAATTAGGATAGCACCCCAAAATGGAATTAAGTCCTCTTGAAATTGTGTATAGGAAACCGTTACTAACCACTAGGAGAGATGTATCACCTTTTAAACTAGAATATAAAGGTAGAATTAAACAATAATTAAAACAATTTTAAGTTTTTTTGGCATATCAACCCTAATTATTCCACATTGTGTCTAAACAATAAAATAGGCAGCTTCATGTGATATGTAATGCTATTATGACACTAGAAGTATTTCGTATTTTAATATAAAATCTTATCTTTTTTGTTCTTTTTTAAACTTTTTTCTCTATTTATTTCATCTAAAAATTCTTAAGAGGAAAGATTGAGGATCTTAGTTGGTTCCTAATATGTACTACTGCAGATTTTAGTTTAGGATATCATTTCCCTGTGATTTTTAATATCGTAGAGAAACAGTATTAAACAGCCAGGAAAGTCCATGTGCTTCCCCACTTCCAAGGCCATCATTCCAGAATTTCCCTTAACCCAGGAAGAGTCTACTCCATGACTTTGTTTCACAACACTTAACCCACTACCCACATCACTTTAAATTGTCTTAGACGTCCTGAACTATTCCCGGCACTGGTTGCGCTATGGGAAAATTCTTTCTTTCTTCCACTACACTATGAATTGCTTCCACAAACGAGAATGGGCTTTATCTTATTCTTCCTTGCACAGTGGGTGACATACACCAACACATTCCACAAGCGTTCAATGAATCAGCAAAAGATACAGTGGCCATTTGAAGGAACAATTTATGCTACGTAAGACTATGTAAAGGTATGTAAAGTCAAACTGCTGGGAATCCACCTTCATAACTATCACGAAAAAAATCAAACCGAATAGATCCATTCATTTTCACATACACGTCCAGACAAAGGCTTCGCTCTACGGCAAATCCCAAGAGTCGCGCCACAGATGTCGTAAAAGGCTAGGAAGCCCTTCGGAGCGCCCAGGCTTCCTGCTTTGCGGCAGCCTCAGGGCGGGAAAGTGCCCGGCGGTCGGTTGGAGGGAGAGTCCTCGCCCCGCCCCCTGGGTCTGTACTGCCGCGCCCGAGGAGACGTGTTCCAATCTCCGACCCAGCGCTGGGCGCCGGTTAAGATCTCCCGCTGCCCGTCGCCGATACCATGGAAGCGGCGGTGGAAGCAGAAGTGGAAAATGAGGACGGCGACAGCAGCTGCGGGGATGTGTGCTTCATGGACAAAGGCCTGCAGAGGTAAAGGGCACCCCGTAGCCGGAAGCGGCGAACGCGTTGTGTGGCCTCTCGGAGCCGAGCGGAGGCGCTGCGGCGCGCTGACTGCTCTCCGACGCCGTTCGGACGCCGTCAGGCTCCCGGATGCCCCTGTGGGAACTTCGCGGAAGGGCGGCGTGGACGCGTCCTGCCTTCTTCTGCCCCCGGCACTTCCCAGGCTCTGCGTAGCCTCGAACCCGGCTCTGCCCCGCGCCCTGCCGCTGCTCTTCCTGTGTTCAGTGGTTGTTTTGCTTGCCCGTTAGTTCTTGGTTTTCTCGTGTTCTCTTTTGCCTCTCTTCTACCCCGAAAAAGAGCGCTGGCTATCCCTTAACTGATTTTTGCCTCAGTTCTCCTTACCCATTTTAATTTCTTCTGCTAAAAGCACTGTAAAACACAATTATATTCTCTCTCCGAAAGTACTGCATTTGTCTTATTTAATTCCCCCTTTCCTCATGCTGCCCGAACTTGTGCAGAGCACATGGGTTCTTGGTCTCTTCCTTGACACTATGGTTAGCCATGCTGAGCCTCAGGCAGCTGCACTGCAGACCACTCTGTGTCTTTGCACCTGCTGTTGCTTGTGGAGTGTGCCCTTCTCAATGCGAACCTTGCTGCTGATAATTAATCATTTTGTTCTAAGTCCTGATCGAAAATTTGTCAGGGGAAATGCTTCTGAAAGGGATGCTTGCGTTTCTGTACAGTGATAGCTGTCATTTCCAGAATGCCATCTATCTGTCCACTTTATGTACATGATTACTAATCCTCACAGCAGTTCTGCAAGCTGATGATTTTTCTCATAAATGGTGAGACTGAGAATGAGAGAATCTAAGTAAATTGCCTGACTTCATGCAGCTGATGAGCAATTAAATACGGATTCAAACCCGTTTCTAATTTCACTGCATGCTTTTTCTGCTATCTCACGTTTGTCTGCACAGTATTAATTTCCAGGAACTGCAATGTGTCAGAAAATAAATGGCTGTCCTAAAGAGCATGCTTCAAACAGACACCTGTAGAAGTTACAAGCTTGAGATTTCCAAATGCTTCCCTGTAGGTTTCCTACAGTTTTATAGTAGCTGCAATAACCTACCACAGATGTCCATAATATGTGTCCCTATTCCTGACTGTACTTCCCATCCAGCACCTCTAAACTATGGTTTATGTGGTAAGAAGTATTGTGTTTTATGAGACATTTCAAGGCACAAATAGGAAGGATTTCATTCTAAAATGAATGGAGCACATATTTATTTTCATGCTATTTGCTTAATTTTAATTAATCTGGTCATGCTTTTAAGATCTGTTTTTTTACTTGTTATACATTGTTTAAACTATGTGCCCTGTAGTTTTTGTTCCTGGAACTACTGCTACTACTACTATTTACTGGAGGGGTTCCAATTATAAGTAGGAATTGAGAGAGTGAAAAGATGAGCTCTGTTGAGGGGTGGTGCATTGTGACTTGCAATAGGGGAGGACAAGGACTTTTTTTTAGAAATCAACTACTACATTCTGATCTAAGTAGCCCATGGTAGACAGTGAAGACCATAATATAATAAATTCCTGTTTGAGCGCTGGTCATTGTTAACATAAGTGCAAGAACTTGGTCAATTAATTTCCATAAACATTAGTGTCCTTGATTTAAGAACTGCATAAGAGTTGTGAAAATTAGATAAGGAAACTGAGGCTTACATAGGTTGCCAGTTGTTCAAGAAACACAGCAAATAAAAGTGGTGGCAGGAGGGAATGTGGAGATTTGAACAAGGGAATTAGGATTCCAGAGCCTTTTAAATTATTGACTGCCTTCATTATATGACAGTGACTTTGCCCAGAGAACGTAGAAATACCCAGGGCCAATCACCTTTCTTTAGTACTTTCATGTTTGTATAAATGGTCCAAAATACTGGTTTATATGGTAAGAAGTATTGTCTTTTATGAAACATTTCGAGGCACAAATAGGAAGGATTTCATTCTAGAATGAATGGAGCACCTGCTTATTTTTATGCTATTTGCTTAATTTTAATTATTTGCCCATGCTTTTAAAATCCATTTTGATTTGCTTTTAGAATCTAGATTTTTTTAATTTTTTGATTTATTAGCATATTATAGTTACATGAGGGGTACATTGTGACATTTACAAAAGTGCTTACAGTATATCCTCCATCTTTCTCCTTTATTCCCCCTCACTCCTTTTTTAGAAGTTTTTTCATGTGTTTTTTGCATGCATGAATACATACTACTTTCACCATAGTCACCCTCCTTCACTCTTTCCTTACTTTATCCTCCCCTTCCCACTGGTATCAACCCCTGGACAGGACTTGTTTTACCTTTCTGTCCTTTTTTGGGGGGAGGGGGGAAGGCATTTTTGTTTATGATGGTTATACAGAGAATTTCATTGTGACATTTCCTCAAATATATGTATTATACCCTACATTAGTTCATTGCCTCCATTATTCTCCTTCTACCTTGATCCTCTTCTTATGGAGATTTTTAACAAGTTTGAATGTTCCGTATTCATACTTGTAAAGAAAGTACATCAACCATATTTACCTTCTTTTTTTTTTATTGCTTTTACATTTATTCATATACATTGTTTGGGCCACCCCTGCTCCCTGTCCCACCCCCTCGCTTCCAGGCAGAACCTGTTTGCCCTCTTGTTCTCCAATTTTCTTGAAGAGAAAACATAAAAGACAATAAGAAAGACATAGCATTTTTGTTAGTTTGAGATAAAGATAGCTATACAGAGAGATTCCTAGCATTGCTTCCATGCACATGTGTACTACAACCCACATTAGTTCATCTCTCCCATACCTGTTTACTACTTCCTGGTCACCTTCCCATAGTGGCCTCTGCCATTTTAAGATTACTGTATTCACTGCTATATAGTGAGTACATCACCACATTCAAGTTTTAGGTTTCCTTCCCCTTCCCTATTTCTCTCATGTGCGTTCTCCCCTTAGTGTGTGACCCATGTCTAATAATACTATTGCATTTGTTTTAGGTCTATAATCTACATATGAGGGAGAACATACCATTTTTGGGCTTCTGAGCCTGTCTGACTTCACTTAAGATGATGTTCTCCAGTTCCATCCATTCACTTGCGAATGACAAAATTCCATTGTGTATAAATACCACATTTTCTTAATCCATTCATCGGTAGTGGGGCATCTTGGCTATTTCCATACCGTGGCTATTGTATATTCACCTTCTTTACTTCCTTCACTTACTCCCTACCCTTGATGCCCTTCCCTAAGTGTGACCTTCATTGTCCTTGTCCTTCATTGTTTAGATTTGTTGTTCATAGGATTTTGCCTCGGTATTTTACTAGTAAATGTATTGTGCTTAATTCTATTGTTGTTTTCTATAATATATATTTTTTCTTTTGTAGCATATCAGAATTATCTTTAAATTCAACCCTTCATGCCATCAATCTGCATTGCAATAACATCTCCAAGATCACAGCCATTGATCATATTTGGAATTTACGACATTTAGATCTGTCATCTAATCAAATAAGTCAAATTGAAGGACTAAACACACTGACAAAACTATCTACTTTAAACTTGTCCTGCAATTTGATCACAAGAATAGAAGGTTTGTAAGTGATTTTCACATAATACTCGCATAAAGGTGACTTATGTCTATTTTTCTGGAAAGGATAAAATCAACATTGTCATAAACTTTTGAAACCTGACCATAAAACTCATTATACAAAAGTTTTATTACAAAAAAGTATCAATTTTTAAAAATGAAGCATTCAAAATACCAGCAAAAGTAACTCCATTGTTAGCAGACTGGATTTTTTCCAAAATAGGCTGAAATAATATAATACTGTATTTCTCTAATTCTTTAAATCCTATAAAAGCTATATCTTATTTTGTTCTGCCTTATTTTTAGGACTTGAAGCACTAATTAATCTGACTAGACTGAACTTATCTTATAACCACATAAATGATCTTAGTGGTAAGTAGATACATTTATATTTTGTATAATGCTGAATGTTTGCAGCTTGTGATGAGTTAGCTAAGAATGTTGGAAAAGTCCAAATTATAATCCACATTTTGACCAGAGGTCTCATCACAAGAATATGCTTCAGTCATAATTCTCTTTTATTGCTGCCAAAATTATAACTGAGTGAAAAGTAGAAAAATGACAATGACCAGTAGCAGAAAAAGCTTGGACAAGAAGAACCCACTTTGGAGTAATAATGTTTTACTCTTATATAATTAATGTACTATTATGTAGAGAAGATTAGTTCCAGTAGAACTTTTTCTTCAGTGATGAAAATTTTCTGTATCTGTGTTCTTTGGTATGGCAGTCAATAGCCAGTTTGTGGCTATTGAGCACTTGAAGTGTAGCTAGGGCAATATAATTTTATGTTACTTTTGTTTAATTTTAATTTAAATGTAAAAAGTCGCATGCAACTAGTTGCTACAATGATGAATAGTGTAGATAATGTCAAATTACAGAGTCCTGAAAATTGAGTATCAATAATTATTTTTTTCTTCTGTCTGTAGTATTATAAGGAGATTTAAAAATTGTTACAATTTTTTATTGATTAAAGTAATGCAACTGATAAAATGTTTCATGATTATTCTTACAACTATATATTAGAGGTAGCAAAACTTCACTAATTATACTTACCAGTAATTAAAACCATATTACTCATTTGTTGATGTATTTTTTTGCCCCTGGAAAAACATTACCTTATGCCACATGCTTAATACACAAAAAATAAAGAGACCTAATCTCGACTCTTATGATGAAGTGGCAACTATATTTTTAATTCTTTTAATTAAACCTCTTTTCCCCTAAAGACATGAAAGCATTAGAAAAAGATACTATGTTAAAAGAGTTTTAACCTAGCTGGGTCACTACTATGTGAATCCTGAGCAACTTTTAAGACTTTGTTTCCTGTTCCTAGTTCTCCCTCTATGTTTCAACAGGACTTGTTCTAGGTCCTTTTGTCCTGGTTGTATGGCTACAAATACCATTCAGTGCTTTTGAATGCCAAATATAAACTCCAGCCATGATTCCCACCACAATCTCCAAACTACTGGTAATATGCATACACATATGTTCAATAGTGTTCCCAAATTTAAGGTAGAATCTATTTCTCATCCCCTACCTCTAAACCTCCTCCCAATCCATCCCATGTCAATAAATAGTACCACCATTCACCTGTTAATCTAGAGAAAATTTGTTCTTATCTTTGATTCTGTTTTATTTCCTCTCCTGCCCATCTAAAACCTACTCACCACTCAGTAGCCAGTGAGCTTTTAAATATATAAATTATGTCACTCCTTGCATAATATCCTCTAATGACTTCTTCTCATACCTAGAATAAAACTCCTTATCCTATTTATAAAGCTATATTGACCTGGTCTCTGCTGACTTTTGTCTTCCTTTTTTCAGTGTGTTAACCTGTCACTTACGTATGCAAACTCATCTTGTTTCTTATATGGCTAGCTTGATCTTGCCTAGTGTATTTGTACTCTATTATAAGTCATTATTTATTGAAGTATTTCTGAACATACAAAATTTTAACACTCTAAGAATCATCTGTAAGAACTTTACTGGGTTACCCTCTAATTTTCTTTATAATCCTCATCACTATCTGATATTTACTCGCTAAAGCACACCCTTTTTAGGTGTAAAGTTTGGCGTGTTTTAGCAAACACATTCAGTTACATAACAAGTATTAAGGAGAAATGCTGAGTACTATGCAAATGTGTGACAGGAAAATCAGACCTCATAAAAGGTGATCAAAGACTTCTGAGGATGTGACAGAAATATGAGTAAAGTGAGCACTGACAAGAAAAGGATATTTCAGTCAGGTCAAAGAAACTGAAAAAAAGGTAAACAAGTCTCCTTTGATAGAGAGGAGCTCATGGAGGTTTTACCTTCCTCACTCATGTAGGCTTTACTTGAGATCAAAAAGCTTCCTTCACTTTGAAAAAATTCTGAGGCAAGAAAAGAGAGAAACTTCCTGATGGTATATGTAGCACTTGTGCACATCAGCCACTACTGAAGTCTGAGATAGACCAGGCACCAGTAGTATCAGCTACAAAATGATATACTTATACAAGAAATATTACCAGGGCACTAAGATGAGTGTTGTTTGCATTCTGTACTTAAACCAACCAAATTTAAATGCTCTACAGTGTTTACATACATTTGCCAACTACAGCTTTTATATTGAGAAGCCTAAACCTGGGCTTTGTGCTTATTCTCATATAAGTGCATGCATTGCCTTTGGAAGGTTGTTCTGTTTTGTTTTGGTTGGTTTTGAACCAAAGCTAAGGAACTTCAGGGATAAAGATCTCAAAGAGATGCTAAACCCCTGTTTCTTCAAAACAACTGACTTTACTGACACCCTTTTCATTAGATGTATCTCTTCACAGCAAGATCTTATTAATGGTTCTCCTTTACCTCAAAAAAAATTTTTTTTCTTATTGCAGGGTTGATGCCCCTTCATGGACTGAAATACAAACTTAGATATATTGACCTACATAGTAATTGTATAGATAGTATCCATCACTTACTTCAGTGTACGGTAGGATTGCACTTCTTGACCAATCTTATTTTAGAGAAGGATGGAGAGGGTAATCCTGTCTGTCATGCACCAGGTATGAACAATTAATTTAATACTTTTGTAAAAGTTAATAATCAAAGCCCCTTCATTTCCTGAAGTTGAAGTTTATAACCTCCTATTTTTGTCTTAAACTTTGCAGTGTTTTATTTTGTATTTGGAAAAAACATACAAATATTTTATTTAGGAAAACTAAATCGCTTCTTTGTTAAAAGAACACAGGATGAACAGATCAGTAATTCTCCTATTTAAATAGTTTTGTAGTTCATAAATGAATGCCTCAAAATTACATTTTATTGTAGTATATTCTAATAATATAATACTGTATAGCAATAAAAAGTGAATCCCTATCTACTAATGGTCAGCTATCTTCAAGATATATTAAGAGGGAGAAAAGAAATTTGCAAAGTATTTACATAATAGGTTACCCCTTGGGTGAAAAGTGTGAATACAACATATACGTATAAAATACCTAGGAAAAATAATTTTTTAAACAACTTACACTTTTATATAGATAATACTGAAATATCATTTGATCAATCAGTCAAGTTGGCAATGACAGACCAGGGTGCCATTTCTGTAACTCAGTTATTTCATGTTGTTTAACCACACAATAAGAGAGGAATGTGTAGAATGTGAGTATACCTTCTGAAGATCTCTTGGGTATAAGTTGGTTACACAGGCTCCACTGTCATTCATACGCAACTATGAGAAGGCTTTGTACAGCATGGCAACCTCTTTTGATTATTTCAGAAGAGAATGTACCTAACAATTATTTTTTCTAAGATCATGTAATAATAAAGTCTGCCTGAAAATCAGAACAGATTTGAGAGTTTGGGGGGGGAAACCCTTTTCTTAAAAGAAAACTTTATTTCTGAAATTTTGCATATTTCTTCTCTAACCTTAAGATTAGAATTTTTTTCCTAATAATTTTGTTTCAAGAATCTCAAGTTTCTAGAGTTTGAATCTTTGTGTTTCACTTCCTTTTTTAAATTTAGGACTTCTCTCAACCAGTTGTCCCTTTTCCAGGACTAAAGGAAAACTTACTACTGAAATTACTTTTCCCCCCTCAAAAGTTCTAATACTGATTTGCCAGGTTTCTTTCTTATTTTTTGAAGTCTTCAAACCACTTAATTGGTCTTTGTGAGCAATATCTAGTTTTAAGATTACTTGAGCAAAATTGGATTGGTTTAAATATCAAATTAATGTTAACATGTCAGGTTTCTCATACTTAATTGCTTTTAGGAAAAATAAGATAAATACATTATAACTGAATATTGATTGATCCACATCTCAGTATTATTTATGTGTAATTTAAGAGGAGAAAGGAAGATTTTTCACTAATATCTCACTAAGGAAACTTTGGTACTTTGGTCATCATTACATCATAGTGATTTATGTTATGCTATTCATATTAAAAATAAAGACCTGTTTAGCAACCTTCCTGAGATAAATTGCTGTTAGTTTCATGCATTGGTAGCTTTAAAGTAATTTTTCAGAGCTTGATGATTTTAACTTTCTGACCTTCATCAGAAGAATTGTTTGAGAAGGCTGAAGAGGGTGCTTTGTTTCTTTTGTATGTAATATTACAAGCTAGAAAAGTTGAAAAAGCATGTTTATTACAAGTTTATTAGTTATATTCTGGGACTAATTTTGTCATTTGGGTGATATAGCTTAGTTTGCTTTAGAAATAATTAGCTTCCTTTTTAAAATGTTTAGATTTTCATTTTGAATGATTTGTTTCTAAGGGTACAGAGCAATTATTCTCCAAACTTTGCCACAGCTGAGAATTTTAGATTGCAAGAACATATTTGGTGAACCAGTAAATTTGGAAGAAATAAATACATCACGCCTGCAGTGCTTAGAAGGTCTTTTGGATAATTTAGTTTCTCCTGATTCTCCCCTAAATATAAGTGAAGATGAGGTATAATATCGGTTATTTTTCCTAATATACCTTCAAATTTTAATTAGCAAATGAATGTAAATTTAAAAGGAGTTTGTTTTTTTCTGTGTCATAGGTCATTGATAATATGCCAGTGATAGCACCACCTGTCGACGACGATGTATTACCTCCCTTGGAGCAGTTTGCAAGTACACCAACAGATACTGTTTTGACGTCATTTTTATCTGTATGTCCATCCTCTGAGCCAGAAAAAATTAATCATGAAAATGATTTTCAGAATGAAATGAAACTAAAGAAGTTAGATGGTCAAATTTTACAGCTTCTCGATGAAGTAACTTTTTCCTACTTTTCTAAAGCCTGTTGTATGTTGATTGAGGAAAAAGTAGTCAAGAACATATAAAATAAAAATTATGTACAAAGTCTAGCAGTCATAAACAATTGACTGTATCACTGTATGCAGTTTTTTTCCCTTACAGAAATAGGATTATATATAGTAATAGTTGTAGAAAACATTGACATACATTTTTCATTTTCTTTATTGCCTTCCTTCACAATTTCATTATATAATTCCTTTGTCTTGTTCTGTAGTACTTCACATGGCTTCCATTCACTCACCCTGTATTTCTACTTTTAAGTTAGCTAAGAATTCTTTGGACTCAGTGTTTATTAATATAAAGTATACCTGAGCTACTTTTAGCCTCTGTTCTCTCTTAAGTTGCTTACTGGTCAAGACCACTTCTAGAATTCACAGCTGAATGGCAAATTAATTTAGATCGTTTCTGCTTCAATTTCGGTTTTCAGAAGACCATCACCTAATCTCTACTTTCCTAAGCTGTTAATCACTTTTTGCCCCAGCTAATAATTCTAAAATCTGTGAATTAAGTGAATGAATTACAGTTCATAGAATTTACTGCTATTCAGGTCTCAGCCCTCAGGGCAGCATTCTTGTACTGATCCACAGTGGTGGTTTCCCCCAGTGGCTCCCCACCCCCACCATACTATATCTCCCTGAATGCAGTGAATTACTGCTTTGTTTGTCTTCTACCTAGATGTAGAATAGATTTTGATACAGGCTGTTAATTCAATGTCAGTTTAACTAGGAATTTGTAAATAAATTTTATTTGTTAGTTGTTTTTAGGGAGCATGGTATTTTTGTTTTCTTTTCTTTTGATGGTATCCCCCTGCTCCTACAGAGCTAGAATTACAGACATGTGCCACCACTCCCAGACTGTAACTAAATTTCAATTTTTTCTCAAAATGGGGAAGGGAGGGAAGGAGTAGAAAATGCTTTTGGATGACTGGTTTAGGCAGGTTTTCAATAATCCTGAACTATATTACTCTGTCTATAACACCGGTAGTACTGGGTAAACAAGAAGTCTACTTTATTTAAATGAGAGTGAATATAAGGATATGAGGACTGTGTAAAAAAAAATACCTAACTTCAGCCACATAGGTAGATAGTAATAAAATTAGGACAAGAATGTTGGCCTGTACATTTTTTGATGTTACTGATATATAGATGAACTTTTAGACTTCTCCATTTCCTCAGATTTTTTTGTTTTCTATCTTATCTAATGGCTGACTCTTCTACCACTATTGTTTAGATTTAAGCTTAATAACTTAAATTTAAAGAAAACCCTTCAGCATTGTTATCCTGGCTATATAGAAAAGAAACCCAGGCATTTAAAAATCATTTACCTAGAGTACTTCATTTGTAAGACAGGATTGAGCTAAAAACCCAAATCTGGTATCCAGTTGCACTTTTTTTCCAGTGTCATGCTTCTTAATCAGTTATGAAAATAGTCTAGCATCCTGAGAAAAAAAGTGACTCATGCTTTGCATAGTTAAAATGTGTAAGAGAATGACCTCTTGTTTACTGCTTACTTGGTATAAAGAGTAAATGTATAATTTGAAGTTCAAATAATTTTATTTCAATAGAGTATAATGAGGAATTTTTTTCTTAACCATGGGACTTGAAATCATAATTCTCCCATTGATTTGTGAAATTCTGTTTATGAAAAGCTGTTTTGCTTTTACTTTTAAATATTCTCCCAACATTACATTTTGAACGTTTTCATCCATAGAGCAAATTTAAAGAATTTCTTGTAAATACCATGATACCCACCAATGAATTCTTCCATTAAGATTTTACTACCCTTATTTCATCGTACAGATCTATCCATCTAATTGCCTATCAAACTGTCCTATGCCACATTTCAATTACAAACATCAGTGTACTTCTTTCTAAACACTTTTAAGTGTTTCCTTCTTATGTAAAATGCAGATGGAGTTCCCGAATTGGCAGTGCATCTACCTGGTACCCAGACTGTGACAAACATGTAATCTTCCTTCGTGCTTCCTTCTACAAGTAGTTCTTCCTCCCATTTCAGAAGAAATCACTTTTCTGATTTTTTTTCCACCATAAATCATTTAATATTTGTTCTAGAACCAATAAGATGGAATCCCAGCCATATGTACTTTTCAGTATAAGGCTTCTTTTACTCAGTTAATGTTTTTGAAATTCATCCATATTTTTTCTTTCAATAGTTTATTTCTTTGTAGTATTCCTTTGTGTGAATACACCATTGTTTTATTTTTCATATCTTGTTGATGAACTACTAGGTTATTCAAGGTTTGTGAACATTGCCGTATTTCCAGTATCACCAAATCTGTGTCTTCTCCTTTTCCTCCTCTTTTCCTCCCCCTTCCCTCTCTCTGTCTCTTTTCTTCCCATCCCTTCTTTCTCTCATCACAATCAGTTTAGCTAGGAATTTCATTGATCTTTAAGGGGAACTAACTTGCTTTGTTAATTTTATCTATTTGTTTTCTACATCACTGTTTTCTGTTTTTCATCATTTCCTTTTTTACTTTGAGTTTACTTTGGTCTTCATTTTCTAGCTTCTTAAAATAGGCGTGTATGTCATTTTATTTTAGACCTATCCTTTTTTTTGGAGGGGTGGAGCGGTTTAAGACAGGGTCTCACAATGTAGTCCAGGCTGACTTGTAATCTTCCTGCCTTAGCCTGCACAGTGCTGGGGTTACAGGCATGTATCACCATACCCAGCTTCATAGTTTTATACTTCAGTAGAGGTTTCAGGGACTGAGGGTTGTTTCACTTTTACGAGCTGGGGATTAAACCCAGAACCTCACACATGGTAGGCAAGTTCTCTACCAAGGAGCCATCATCCCCAGATACCTATCTTCAAATGTAATTGTTCAAAGCAATCTGTTTTCCTCTTAAGTACTCCTTCTGCTGCATTCCACAAATTTTTATATGTTTTGCTTTCATTTTTTAGAAATATCTTCTGATTTCTCTTGTGATTTCTTCCTTGATCCAAGGATTTTTAGAAATGCCTTTACTAATTTTCAAATATTTGTGCTTCTATAGATTTGTTATTAATATTTTATTTCATTTTCCTCCCATTTTGTTCAGAGAATGCATTCTGAATTTCAGTCTTTTAAATATATTGAGACTAATGCAAGAGGCCTCCAGGACACCAAACAGACCAGATCAAAATAGAACTACTCCACGACATACATCATTAAAACAACAAGTTCAGAAACTAAGGAAAGAATATTGAAGGCTGTAAGAGAGAAAAAACAAGTAACATACAAAGGTAAACCCATCAAAATCACAGCAGACTTCTCAACAGAAACATTAAAAGCAAGAAGAGCGTGGGGTGAGATCTTCCGGGCACTGAATGAAATAACTTCAACCCCAGGATACTCTACCCAGCAAAGCTATCATTCAAAATAGATGGAGCAATAAAAGTCTTCCATGATAAGCAGAAACTAAAACAATATGTGACCACAAAGCCACCATTACAAAAGATTCTGCAAGGGATCCTGCACACAGAAAGTGACACCCAACTTAACCATGAAAAGGCAGGCAGCACCAAACCACAGGATAAGAAAAAGCAAGACAGAAGAGAGTAACATCAAGTTAGGTACACACAATCAAACCTTCAAACAACTAAGATAACTAAATGGCAGGAATCACCACATACCTATCAGTACTAACACTTAATGTTAATGGACTTAATTCACCCATCAAAAGACACCGTTTGACAAAATGGATTAAAAAAGAAGATCCAACAATTTGTTGCTTACAGGAGACTCATCTCACCGACAGAAATAAGCATATGCTTAGGATGAAAGGCTGGAAGAAGATTTACCAAGCCAATGGCCCCCGAAAACAAGCAGGAGTAGCAATACTTATCTCTGACAAAGTAGACTTCAAACCTACATTGATCAAATGAGATAAAGAAGGACATTCCATACTAATAAAAGGGGAAATAGACCAAAAGGAAATAATAATCATCAATCTGTACACCCAATGTCAACGCACCCAATTTCATCAAACATACCCTGAAAGACCTAAAAGCATATATAAACGCCAACACAGTGGTTGTGGGAGACTTTAACACTCCATTATCATCAATAGATAGGTTATCCAAACAAAAACTCAATAAAGAAATCCAAGATCTAAAATATGCAATAGATCAAGTGGACCTAGTAGATGTCTACAGAACATTTCATCCAACCTCTACACAATATACATTCTTCTCAGCAGCCCATGGAACCTTCTCCAAAATAGATCATATCCTAGGGCACAAAGCAAGCCTCAGCAAATATAAGAAAATAGAAATAATACCATGCATACTATCTGACCACAATGCAGTAAAAGTAGAACTCAACAACAAAAGTAAAGACAAAAAACATGCAAACAGCTGGAAACTAAATAACTCATTACTTAATGAAGAATGGATCATCGATGCAATAAAAGAGGAAATTAAAAAGTTCCTAGAAGTCAATGAAAATGAAAACACAACCTACCGGAACCTATGGGACACAGCTAAGGCAGGCTTGAGAGGAAAGTTTATAGCCATGAGTGCATATATTAAAAAGATTGAAAGATCCCAAATCAATGACCTAATGATACATCTCAAACTCCTAGAAAAACAAGAACAAGCAAATCCCAAAACAAATAGAAGGAGAGAAATAATAACAATAAGAGCTGAAATCAACGAAATAGAAACCAAAAAAACATACAAAGAATTAATGAAACAAAAAGTTGGTTCTTTGAAAAAATAAACAAGATCGATAGACCCCTGGCAAACCTGACTAAAATGAGGAGAGAAAAAACCCAAATTAGTAGAATCAGGAATGCAAAAGGGGAGATAACAACAAACACCATGGAAGTCCAGGAAATCATCAGAGACTACTTTGAGAACCTATATTCAAATAAATTTGAAAATCTTAAAGAAATGGACAGATTTCTAGATACATATGATCATCCAAAACTGAACCAAGAGGAAATTAATCACCTGA